CTGGGGCACATTTTTGCTCCCCAGTTGTCCTTGAGCCTTCGCTGTCGAGTGTCCTGGTCATGCCACGCCCCCAGTCCCACAACGCCCGCCTGTCAATTTGTCCTTTCATTTTTCTTTTGCCGCTTATTTCCTGGCGCTGCCGTTGAATGCATTTTTAATTGGCTTCAAATTTCCGCCCGAGCCTCTGAGTAAGACGAGGCACAAAGAGGAGCAAAATGAAATTGAGTTTTATTATTAAGCGCTCGGGTGTAGCGGGCAATAAGCTCTGGAATTGATTGTAAAACTTAAGCGTCCAATAAAACGTTCAACTTGATACCCCTGCCCCTTTTTAAGCTTACTTTTATGCCACTACTGTGAAGCAGATTCAAGCACATTCGTTTTGTAAAAATATATTTTATTTATTAACCAAAAGTGTCTTATTTCTTGAGCATATTTCCAATATTTTTTCACTTGATTGCCAGCGAATTGGCCACAAGACTATCAAAACAGCGATGAAATCACTTCTTTGCACCTTGCTCTCCTCTTTCTCATAATTCAGACCACAATTCCCTGACCTGGTCAGCCAAACTTTTCCGGACGCTGGGAAATCTTTCAACTATGTCTGGCGCTGGGAAAGTGCTGGCCATTTCTCTCTTTCACCAAGTCTTAAAATCGCACTTTGAGCCACTTTGGTAGCGTTTATTGATTTCAATGATGACCCCAAATTGCGGCAATGAAAGTTGGCCATTCCAGGTGGGCGGAAATGAGTGGGGGCTGATGAAGAGCAAGGTGAAAACGAGTCGAAGGCCTTGACACTTTGCGAGAGCTTGGCATAGTATTTAATTAAAATGAGACGCCTTGGGTGCGATGCGCAAATATACAGTATCTAGATATAAGTAAATATATGCAGGAAGTTCACTTAATCCATCTGCACTTCTGGGGAATACCTTTCGCCGCTGCATTTTGCGGCAATAAATTCAAAGCCAACTGCGTGTGATGCTCAACAAACTGGTAACTAACATGCACACACACACGTGTGAAAGGGGTCGATATGCACACTCACACAGCGATGAAGGCAGCACTAGCCCAGAAACACTCATACGCAGTGTGGCCCAGTGCAGTGCTGATCTCTCCTGTGGGCTCCTCTGCACATTTTTGTTACCAAGATTTTAACTGTCAGCAAGTTGGGCGACTTAATTTGAATTTACGGCTCCGCCAGGGGCGCATCTCTCGCCTCTCTGTCGCACACTAGCCCCCCTCTCACTCGCTCTAGCTCACTCCCCGGGGGGCCTAGCTATTATTTTGCACAAACAGTATTAAATACTGGGTTCCAGTTGTGGTTCTGCTCCTGGTCCTGCTGCCATCTCTTTTCTGGTCTCCAGGTCGAGGTCTGTCCAAGTAAACCTGTGTTCGTGCCTGCTCCACGGCCCACTGGGTGTTTGGCTGTTTGGGTGTTCTGGTGTTTGGTTGTGCGTCCTGTGTGGGTGACAATAATATTCAAATTCCACTCTGTTGCAGTTCCACTGCCAACGTGCTGTGGGCGGTGGGTAATGGCCGCTGGGCGTGGCAATGACACTTTTACACTCCATATATCTGCCTAGGAAGTCGCCACTAGCCTGGTTACCCTTTCAAGTGCACTGCACGAAGTCTCTTAGCTATTTAACTCAATTCAAGAATTCAAAAAAAAAAAAAAAAAAAACATTAATAATAATGACAAACTGCCTATATAATTTAAGGTCTCCCACTTAAGAATGTATGCATCCTGAAGCAAAAACTGAAGCTATCACATCAGCGACACCTAACAATATATTGAAATAATATTTCCCTTTTATTTATTAAATTAATTTGAGTCCAGCAAGACCTTGCTAGCAGCCCATTTGAGTCATTTAAATAGCATTCTGTATCCAGGTCTAACCAAACCATTTACTTGCCCCTCAGCGATAAGTAAAGCCATTTCATTTGGCTTACAGTAAATACAAATATGTTTGGGGTGCATTTATAGCCGCGGCATGGGTTTCTGCGAGTGCATTTCTCAGCCCGCTTGCATTTTCATATTTATGTGTCTCCTGATAGCGCCGCTGCAGTCAAAAGTTTTTCTTCTAGCACTCGGCTCGTGTGCGCCTGTGTATATGCTAATACTTTAGCGCACATGGCAGGGCGCTATTATCGCGACTGCCACTTGGGCGTCGAACTTCCGTTTTGCTCTGCCCCACAATGGAGCTGGAGGATTGGAGGACTGGAGGATCTCCCGGCACTGAGCTCTCAGCACTGAGCCCTCAGCTCGATGGCAGCCCAGAAGCATTTGCAATTTCGGCTTGCATTCGAGAGCTCCAGTTTCAGTGCTCGCTCAGCTCAGTCTGAATGTTGTAAAATGAATTTTACTTCATTTTGATATGTTCTCCCAGCTGGTTTTAGCACCAGGCACATAAATACTGGGGGGATGTGTGGGGCGTTCAGTTTGTTTTGCCACTATCGCAATGATAATAAATTTTATTAATCTCGCAGTCGCCCACACGCGGACTGAAATGGATGGAGGAAGCTCCACAACCCGCCACCGACTGCTCCGCTGATCAAGTGTTCAACTAGTCGAAGGCATTTGTAAACGCGGTCGCCAACAAGAGCGAAGGATACGGGACGAAGAAGGCGTCCTGCCACTTATTTCCATTTACATTTTGTGGCAGCTGCCGCCGGAAGACACTGAATGCCGCTGCCGCTGCGGCAGCTGCAGTTGCAGTTGCCATTCCAGTTGCCATTCCAGTTGCGTTGGCGAATTTATTATGTAATTATTGCTGTGCATTCTAATTGTGTGCTACATTTATTTGGCTTTCACTCCCACGCTCGGGGGAGTTTTTTGCAAATTAGCTGAGTGCCAATTAGCGATGCTGAGAACTGCGAAAAACATGTTCCGATTATCACTTCAACGAAATTCGAGTGTCAATGCTGCACTTTCTTCATTGCCTCAATGGAACTTAATGGAATTTGAGCTATTACAGTTTTCATTTTCATTTTCCTGTACAAAAAATAGTAAAACTTTCACCAGCCTTTAATAATGACCTCATTCTGTTTCCATTAGCTCCGACTAACCCACTGCAACTTCAGTTACCAAGCTAATCAGCCCACTTTCAAAGCGGTCACCAGAAAATTAAGCCACCACCCGGAGCGCACCTAAGTCCCAGGGAAATCTGTGCTCTAAAAAGCAGAGTGAACTGTAGTGAACATATACATGTGGCTCCGGACCCAACTGGCTAATCAAAAATTTATTTAATTTCTTGGCCACTCAAAGGCTGGCCGCAGTGAAAGTGCGTCCGCACTCGGGCATTCTGATGTCCCCCTGTCCATGTCAGCATGGAAGGCATGGCATCCCCAAAGACAAGAGGCGGTGGCCAGTAAATGCCGGACATCAAATTTAATGATGTCAACCATGAGTCGCTGCGATGTCCATGTCCTGCGTTGCAAGTGAAGCAGCCATCTGAATGCGGGAAATGCAGTCTAAAAACCAACAAATGCCGGAAATGCGACGCTGCAGCTGCAGCTGCCGTTGCCGTTGCCGTTGCCATTGCGATTAAACTTTCCGCATTAAATATTTCGTCCGGACCAAACCGGCAACGAAGTTGGCTGCTGGTTGCAAGTGGAACTGGGACGACGGGCGGATGTTGCGGCTGCCTTTTTCGCCAAATCTAATTGCAAATTTCATGTAGCCTCGGCCTCGGTCTCCCTCGCGCCACGCCTCTCGTCGATGCGCCACGCCCACTCGACAACTATATAAACATTGTGGCCACTGGCAACTGGCAACTGGCGTTTTTTTTTCCTTCTTGTTCGCGCTTCCCGTATGGCTGCAGTAAATCATGAAATTTATTTAGCAACATGCGCGCGTCCAGAAGCGCCGCAAAAAGCCGGCTAAATAAATTGCACAAATGCTGTCCGCACTTCGAGTGGCAGTGGAGGCCATGGCAACTTCCTTTTGACCGCTCCCGGCTCCCGGCCCTCCCGGGGCGAAGTGTCATTAATTTTGATGTGTTTTTAATTCGGTTTTGTTGGGAAAACCCATTGACAAAGGCTCGAAAGAGCACACGCCTCAGAGAACTGGTGCGGGAGAACGAGTGCCGCATGGAAATGCTGTTTGGGATTTAATTAAAACTAATGAAAACTTTTGTGCCCACCCACCACCACCACCACCATTTGTTCACCCTCTGCAGCCAAAACCGGCAGTCAATCTTGCAATTTCTGGCCAACGACAAATGACAGGAGGCAGGCAGGTTTTTAAGGTCCTGCAGCAGGACGCCTGCCAACTGCCAACTGGCACAAGCCAAGCCAAGCCAAGCCGAGCACTTGGCCAACATTTCCACAATCCAAAATCCAGCCGAAAGAGGGAAAGACTTCTCAGGGGCGGCACGGACTTCAGATTCGACCTCCGGGCGCATTGACAGAAGAAAGTTGAAAACACTTTGGCCACAATTGTGCAAACCGAACAAAATGAGCTGCAACCACGCACTCGAGGCCAACTCGGAAATGAGCAATGAAAGTGCGTGGCCATGCAATTAGACAACTCCTCCAGGATGTGGCCATGATGCAACTTTTATGCCGGGAAGCACTCCTGAAAGGTGAACGAGTTTAGATTGGAGCATTCTTTCCGCTTGAATATGATTATGATTAAATCGGCTTAATTACAACATAATAAATTGAAATACCAGTGTAATTGAAAATGTAAGTGCCGATAGCAACTACATAATTATTGTGCGTTTTGTGATGAATTTAAAATGGCACATAAATAATTGAAACCACTTGTTTATTTGCACTGAATAAAGAAAAAACAAATATGGTTGGCGTTGCGAAATTCAATGGGCTTATCATAAAATATAAATAAAATGGGATCGAACGCAGCATATTGATCTTATAAAATGGGTTTCAGACTTGCAATTTCATTAATTGACCCCAGCGGAAATAAATCCATGCGGCCATTAATAACCGAAGTGTAGGTTATATTTTAATTAATGGTTTATAAAAATATAATTGTTTTATATCACAGAGTATTTTATATTAAAGCCTGCACTCCTTAAATCATTTTCTATGCGTTGGTAGACTTGTCCGTTCCTTAGATTATGGCAACTGATATATTATTTGGCAACATTTGAATTTTTAACATTGACATTCCATAATGTACGGCTGTTCTTAACTCACTATATAACTATTTTTTGCTAGAAATTAAATGCCTTCAAATGATTTATGGAGCTGTTGCCAACCGACCTAGTTTTTCTTCCTGCCATGACAAAATCTCACCGGGGTAGAAACCCTTAGATGGGAACAGGGCCTCTTGCGCGAAAAAGCTGGTTTGATCCTGGAGGCTGGCGTTTCGTGAAGGGACCTCGGCCCAAGGGAGCTTCCATCGATACATTGTGTGCTGGTGGACAACTGGGAAGCTTCTGCTAGTATTCCATTACCAGGGGATAAAATGTTGATCAGTGGAGCGTGTGAGCTCTTCAGATTTTCGGCATGCACCTTCTTTACTTCGTGGGACTTCAGTTTTGTAATTGCATAAACAGAACAATTGGAGGCATGTCCATCTGGCTTGATGGTCACCATGTAGGAATAAGAGGAGCCCTTGTCCAGGACTTTAGTGCCCTCGTGTTGGAGCTGCAGCTGCACGAGGAGATCGCCAATCTGGCTGAAAATCTTGTCAGCCTCTGAAATAACTCTCTCGTTTTTTCCCCCCTTGCAAGTTAATGGCAAATTTTCCTTTTGGCTCACTGCTGGGCCAGTGGAAACCTCAGGATGGCCCAACTTTTCATCCTTTTTGCGTTTAATTTCGAAGGTGCCCTGCCGGCGGAGGGCTGGAAGGGGAATCAAGCTTGTGCCATTTACCTGTGGAGCCGATTCTGCTGACCCACTTTTATAGTGCACATTTTTGCGCTGCTCCAGCTTGCAGCGCATCTGGCCCATTCTGGCCATAGTCTGAAGCAATAGTTGGCTGTCTTCTATTGTCATGTCGGACAGGGACTTGAACTGGGGATTAGTGGTGTTGGCAACGCTAATGGAGGCATCTGGCTCCTCGCCCTCCACTCCAGCAATGCGAAGGCTCTCCAGATCCTCCCTGAAGCGGCGCTCATCCTCTGCATCTTTCTGTTTAGCCAATGCCTGTGAACTTAGGTTAATGGGCATATCTAATTCTGGAGGTGGTTCTATGTCCTCTAGCAGGGGGAAACAGTTACTCTCTATATCTGCCTGGACCTTTTTCATCCGCTCCCTTTCGATTTGGCTTAGGACTTTTTCCAGCTCCGAACGATCTCTAGATGCCGCACAGTCCACTAGGATAAATGGTGCAGCCTGATCATCTTCCCCATGGGACTGGGCATCCACGTTCAGTTGGACTCCCTGCGAGTTGACGATTCTCGATGGTTCGGGTTGTTCAAGTTTTGTTGTCGCATCTCTACGGCTCTTCTTCCTTTCCTTCATGACGGCTGAAAAAAGAAAAACAATATTGATTTTCCTGTTAAAAACTAAATTTGAACCATATATTTATACCACCTAATTCACCACTTTCATATGCGTAACTCAACAAAAAACTCACGTCAAATTAGCCGCGTCAATCGCATTGTGCTGCACTTGATTGCGGCCAAGTTGGCAAAGCCGTGATTAGGCCAACAAGAAGCACTCACCTGGTCGCCAGCAACTCGATGCTGCCGCTCCCACGGTTGTTGTTTCGCTGTTGGCTCGGCAGCAAACAGAAATTTAAATCCCTCAAAAGTACTCGGCGAAGAAAAACGAAATTGAAAAGGATAAAAGTTCTGCGTGCCCCGGAATCAACAGGGACGAGCCTTCAGCCCCTGATCCAGCACCTGCTCCTGCTCCTGCTCCTGCTCCTGATTCCTGCTCCTGAATCCTGCTCCTGCTCCTGCCCTGGCTCCTGGGCACTTGTAGCTGCCTGTGGCCAAAAAAGCGTAGGATGGTCGGTGGGGGCGTCGGCGGACAGGAACACAATCCGTAAACCAAAACTTTATTTTGTGCTGATAAAAACTTAAATGTTGCTGCCGCTGCCACGCAATCGTAAATGTTTGATATCCCCAAAGGTTAACAATTTCCGTTGCCGCTTGGCTCTGCTTTGCTTTAGCCCAAGTTAGTTTTCTTTATTTTGTTTGCCAAGAATTTTGCGGTTGGCCAACCGAACCGCACACACACACACACACACCAACCTCCTGCTGATGTGGGAGTGTCTTTGGGCTGTCTGTTCGACTGCTGGGAATGGCTCTTGGTTGTGTCTAGGAGGGGATCCGGAATACGGATACGGCCACTGCTACTTGGGGAAAGGCGTACTCGGTTCAATTTAGATCATCGATGTGGAGCTGCAGGAATGGGCAGGACTGTATTCAGGGAGCTGGTGTTCCCAAATTTAGATATTCAAAAATGGTGCTTCGAAAGTCACTGTGCCTGACAATTCCGGCAATGCTTTGGGAGCTCAGAATAGTCACAAAATATAATAATAATATACAAAGTTTGGCTCTCCATCTAATATTTTCTCATATATTTACATTTTAACACAAATCCAATAAGTGTAGGAAATTCCTTTCTCAAATTGTATAAAGCATTTGTGTTTTTAATAAACAACTCTGAACTCAGAGCTTCAATTTTCCCTAAAATTGTGGCAGTAAATTCATCTTTAAAAGAAAGCAAGCTAAATGGCAAGGATGCTGTTACAATTCCCAGAATTTCAATTTGTAAGTGATGCAGTATCATGCCACGAATTTAATTTTCAACCGAGCATGGGGGGCAGAGCGCCAGAAATGTCCTTTCTCTTAAGCTTACGATATTCGCAGCTCCGCTCCTTGGACTAAAAAGCTCTCTCCCAGCCGCCCAGAACATTTAGTGCCGAGCACTCGGCCCGAAGGACACACGAGGATTCATAAACAAATCGAGCTGCTCCTGGCCGTGGCCATTCAGTTGAATTCGTTGCGAGCTGGCGAAAGGACGTGCTCAGCGGTCGTCGTCGTGGCGAAAAGCAATCATATAGAGTGGCATTCGGTGTCTGAGGTCGGAGTTCGTGTGTCAGAGTTTGGCCAAGACTAAGGCGCGAAAACGCATTTGCGGCGAGTGCGACTGCGGCGATTTTGCCAAGTTTTACTCAGTGTTTTCCCCCGAGTTTTCCTTTCCTGCTGAAAACCCGAAAACCCCCCAAACGTGTGCGGGCAATTAAAGTTTCCAGCGCCCCACTGACTGATGGCCGCGCAAATGGCCATTGCGAATTGCATGTTTTCGTGGCGAGGAGTGCATGTCGCAGCATGACACCGAGCGCCCTAAAGCAAATGCATGTGAGCCAGCCGGAGAGGGCTTAAAGTGTTTTTTGGCCAGCCCTTGTTCGCCAAAGTGGAATTATCGGCCAGCAAGACAAACGGCACGCAAGGACGGGCTAATGAAAGCCCCATCAAAGGCAAGTGCAAATTTGTGCTAGGGGTTGGGCAGGAAATCTAATTAAAGACGAAATGGCAAATGCGGAGCATAAAATAATTGCAAATGTAGATGTAACCAGGTGGCAGCATGTGAGTCCCAGGAAACGGGCTTCGCTTGACAAAAAACAAAAGGCAAAACCCCAACCACCACACAAGCGAAAGGAATTCGCATACATGTCAAATTTATGAAAGGCAAGCTCACACGTATGGCTCTGTGTGTGTGAGTGAGTGTCCTGGCCAGAGCTGAAATTTATTTATTTGTTTTCCCTACTTACGGGGCAGAAGGGACAGGAAAAAGTAAAACTACACCGGCAGCTGGGTTGGGGAAACTCTTATAAAAACAAATGTTGAACAATGGGCGTGTGGCACCTTAAATTACTGAAATAGTTGCCCTCATCTTGCAACTTTCGCATAGGCAAGACGATTCTCTGTAGGACATTGGGTATGTGTAACATTATTTCTAGCATTTGTTGATTATCGAACTATTAGTTATTATTGCAAAGTACATAGCTTAGGTTTTTGTTAGCCTTTGTCCATCTTTTTTACACTACAAGGGTTACAAGTATATAGTGCAAGTATTGATAGAGCTATCGAAAACCACTAGCTAGGGAGCGGGCAAATTTAATTCTCTGGCAAATTAAAGTGACGGCTATTAGGGAACATCCTTGCGAGCCCCAAACAGGATTCGATCCCGTCCCCCATGAACAGTGGCCCCTGGGGTGGTCGCACATTGCGTGTACCGTAGTTGGGCGCAAACAATGCATATTCTAATATGCTAAATGGTTGCTTTTGTGGGCGCACCACCCAACCTGCCAACCACCCAACCACCCACCGCTCTACAAGCCACAACCCACTGGCAAAATTATTGCCGGGGCGCGCAAACAAAGCACTACGGTTAGGAAAACAATGGCTCAGTGCCGCCCAGTTGAGTCTGGCTCAGTGGAGCCAGGAGTCGGCATAATTTCAATTAAAATTCAATTGAAATTATATGCAAAAACAAACAATGGTGTAAATTGTGGGACTGCTGCCGGAGCACCCATAAAAGTCAATTAAATTATGCATTCGGCTATATTTATCAATCTGTGTGCCCAGCCCACCTACTGCCCATTATTTTATGTATTTTAACCTTTTCACGGTTTATTTTTTCCCTGATACCCTTTCGATTGTGGTATTGATTGTTGGGAGAAAGGTAATCGACGTTTCAATAATTCCATAAATAGTTAAGTGGCTACCCTCGCCCTCAAGTGACCCCGTTTTTTTTTCTATTTTTTCATTTACCGAGCTTTTATAGTGAATTTTTTTTCTATTTAGTTCACGGCACTTGAACGAACTTAAATATTTCTTCACACTTTGCCTTGTCGCCATCGCCTTTTACCGAAAGTTTTCCAATTATATGTCGCCTTTTTTTCGCCAAACAGTTTTTCCGAGCTTCATATTTGCTTTTCCGCACCCCCACCCACCCAATTCTCTATTTTCCGCTCGTTCGCTGGGGAAAGTTTTTATCGCCGAGCTGAAAAAATTATGCTGGCATTGCCTTCTCTCATATGATTGGCATCGCGGCGGCCCGAAAGTTTTGCCCTCGGGCAAATTGTTATCATAAGCGAAATCGCAGCGTAACTGACGTGAATTTTCCCGAAATGCAAAATTCAGGGCAAGCCGTGTAGTTTGAATAAATGTCACTGTCTGGAGTTTGTATCGAATGAAAAGCCATTCCAGTCCGGGCCAATCGAGAAGTCAGGTAAAATTCACATGGGACTTGTTGATATTTTCCTTTTTTGTTTTTGTCGGTGTCGGGCTAACGGCATTTGCATTTGCAACTGTATCGGCGTATCCGTATCCGCATCTGCATTTGTATCTGTATCTACATCTGTATCTGTGTTTCTATCTGAATATATATCTGTGTTTACTGCCATCCGCATGTTTCAAGATATGGCATACACGTTATTCCACTTTAGTACATTAGGGCAGACTTCCTCCTGCCGGTGCGCTTAATTTCCGGCGCAGTCAACAATACGAATCGGCATCCCCGTAGAGGGAGTTGCTTGGCCCTGGGATTAGGGATCGGCCGGCACCCAGCTCCTGCCCCAGCTCCTGCTCCTGCTCCTTAAATTTCTCGTCATGTCTGCCGAGGAAACGGCAGAGAATGCGACGGGATTCAAGCTGGGACCACAACTGTAGGAAGTTTGAAAGCTCACGCACCTTAGCCTTCAGCAGTCGAGATGAACTTCAATCAGGAAAAAAGTCGGTAAACTATCAGGCCCCTCGACTAACCACACCCGTTTGAGAGCTCCCACGTGTCACAGCCGTCCCTTGTCGCCTTTGTGCAATTAAGGAGCTTAAGTGGTTTTCTCATAATTAGGTTATCCGGATGGCAGGCGCACTTTTGCCTGCTCAAATATTTATGCTCTCGCCCATTTAATTTATTAAAATGCAATTTAATTATTTCAATATTTATAGTACCGCTCCAGGCACACACCCACACACCCACACACGCACACGGGAGGTCCAATCAATTTGGAGTTCATTCGCCTCCCATGCAACATTTATTTTTCGCATGGCAGAGACAGGCCGTTTCCTTGTGCGCATCACTCATACGCACTGGTGGCCCGCGACTGTAGGTTAATGTCGAGACTTCGTGGGTCCCACATTCGCAGCCAACAAATCTTGTGTACGGCGTTTAATTTTTTGACTTCTCTCGCGGCTCACGCGCCAGCTTTTGTGGGTGCTCTGGGGTGGCGTCTTGTGGGGGCGGGCCAACCTGGCCCGTTGGCAAGGGGACGGGGGCGGTGGCGGGAGGCGGTCCGGGAAGCCACCGAAGAAGAGGGCGTTCAAGGATCGCTCGTGGGCTTGGTTTGGTCGCGTCTGTAGCTGCGGTTACCATTCCTGGGTCCTTGAGGTGCTCGGAAGCTGTAGCCACAAAGTTGCCTTGGCGAAGCAGGCACTACCAGTTGGCGGAGAGCACGTGCACTGCAAGAATATATGTATAAGTCATAAAATATAATAAGCAGTATAAAGCATATAAGTGTATATGTCATATTAAGCAGTTTTTTTCAGCTCATTGCCACTTAGATTGTATAAGCGCTCCACTTGTTAGCTTGAACAGATTTAAAGATTACTTATTAAATAGTTATTTGTCTCCGTGTCGCGCACAAATGTGGGTGAGCTGACCAAATGGGGCTACTATTTATGGAAGTTGCACTGATGAGCATTGGCTTACACGGAATTCGGAACTCTGGTGGTGGTAGCCCGCAAGCCTTTTGGGAAATACCATTGAATTTGAATGCTGTTTGCTGGCTATTGCTTAAATATTTGCCTTCCAATTTCCATTAGTCTGTCATATTCCACTCGATTTCGTTACACTCTGTAAATTGCCTTTCACTACGGCTTTTGTGAAATAT